AGGTGAATATTTTCAACCCCAAGGTGAGAAAAGGTAGCTAGGAGCCACAGGCTAGTTTGGAAGAGGTGGGCTTAAACAAAACAAATCGCCGAAAAGTGCAGTGAATTCGAGACATCTTCTCCTACACCAAATTTAGGCTTGCAGGCCCATCCTTCCCTATTCAGCCCTCAAGTGTTTCATTAGAACATGCTTTCATGTGGCTTGGTTCTATGTGGTTATTTCAACTTACCAAGATTTATATTCATAAAACTACGGTGGTATCTTGTAAACTTTTAGCCAGGATCCTGTTCACCTGAAACTCCCTGAGTTCTAGCCACTTATTTATCTCCTTTGGAACTAAAAAAACAAAAACAAAAAAAGCCTGTGGAATATACACCTAGGCCTGTCTAGGAGAGGGGGGTCCACACATCCATGGACAAAGGCCCCTAGGAAGCCCCGACTGGAAAGGCTGAGCAGGTGTGAGCTGCCCATCAAACACCTCTTTGAAGGACTGCCTGCCGACCCACAGAAAACCCAAATTTGTATGACTGCAAAGGATGGACTCAATGAGGACCAAAAGTCTTTTTCCTGTGTGAATATGCTTGACAGTATGAGGAAGCAGACCCCTGAGTCAAAGTAACACTCTGTTCTTTTCACATCAAACTGGCTGTCCACTTCAGCATCTACTGTATGTGGAGGAAATATTAATAATGATTTTTGCGTGGGTCTAGGTTCCTGTGTTCTAACCTCTCAGAGAGAACTCACGCATTCCTTTATTGATTCATTCACTTGAAGTAGATTTAATAAGTGCTTGCCATATGTGAGGTATCACGTCAAGTAGTGGGTATATGGTGGGAATCCAATCGGATATGGTTTCTGCACATGGTGTACAGGAAAGAAAGAGAGCATCAAAAGCATAAACAGAAAGAGTAAAATTACAAAATGCAACAAGAGTGATGAAGAAAAGCAGCACATGAACTTTGCGGGGCCCATTCCCAGTGTCTAGCACTTGCCATGTTTTCCAATGGAGGCAAGCATCCCCAAATATAGTCTTCCTGAGCATTTAAAATCACGCACATGAGATGAAAAGGAAGTGCCACAGACCATGGTAAATATGAAGGAAATTCCTCACTTGAGTGCGTACTGGGGGGTGGGGATCAGAAGAGAGAATTGGCCAAGTTAACAACTGAAGA